CAAGAAGCCTGTCCGCAGATTAGTAACAGTGGAAAGAAGGAAATTAAGGGGGTGCCCAGAGCCTTTCAGGGCTGTAGAGTACGGACAAGAGAGCTGTAGAATCTTGAGGAGGGAGAAACAGAGGCAAGTGTTCAAGCAGGAGTGAGAGAGCCATTTTCAAGTTTGAAAAAGAGAGATGGGGTTATTTTGTAAACATTGTCTCCTAAAATAGAGATGTCTACAAGCAATTGCCATGCTCAGTCTAAGGTAGGAAGGAAGTTAGAGAGGAAGGAAAAGAAGTGAATGGGGAGAGGGGAAGGGAGGAAAGAGATGAGAAATGGGAGGGCGGTAAGGGGAGAGTGAGATGGAGAGAGGGAGGAAGGAAGGGACGGAGGAAAGGAGGAGAGGAGGGAGGGAGGGAAGGACAGAAGGAAAGAAGGGAAGGAGGGAGGGAGGGATGGAGGAAAGGAGGGAGGGGGAAGAGAAAAGAGAAATGGAAGATTGGATAGAGAGAAAGGAAGAAAGGGAAGGGGAGGGATGGAGGTAAGAAGGAAGGATGGAAGGAAGGAAAAGAGAGGAAGGAAAGAAGGAAGGGAGGGCAGAAACGAGGGAGGGAGAGAAGAAAAAAGGAAAGATGAAGGAAGAAAGAACACTAGTATAATGAACATGAAAACAGATGATAAAGGCTAGAAAAGTTCACTGCTACAGAGAAATCTTTTCCAATGATAAGTGTTTGGAATATTTGGTTTGATTTTATAAGGAGACTATTACCATGTAGAGAGCACAGCTTACAGAAAGCACTAGACTAGTGGTCCTCAACCTTCCTGATGCTATGACCCTTTAATAGAGTCCCTCATCTTGTGCAGCTTCCCAATAAACCTGCACTTAATATAATCTAACCTGACTTGAGTTGGCTCATTTTACTGGTGGAGAAATAGCCTATCAGTGGTGACCCCCAACCATAAAATTACTTCATTGCTACTTCATAAACTGTAGTTTTGCTATTCCTAATGTGAATACCTGATATGCTGGATATCTGATCTGTGACACCAGATATGAGATATCTAGTATGTGAAAGGGTTGGTCAATCCCCAAAGTGGTCGAGACTGAGAACCACTGCATTAGAGAAACTAGAATTGTTAAAACAGGCAGGTTTTTTCTTCTTCAAGGGAAGGGAATAATACTTGTTCATCTAGAAAGCTGGAGTGGATGTTGTCTAACAAGCTGGTGATCTTCCCTTATTCTATGGAGCCAGCCTTCTCTTGAATCCCCCAAAATCCTGAGTATTGTCTAGGCCCTAACCCTGAGCTTTGTCACTCAGTGAATAGAACCCACCTGTAGAAAGAATATCTTGTGTAGTGTATGGATGCATCACCTGTCAATTAAAAAGCCTTTGGCCTATGGCTTAGGCAGGAAGTAGAAGGTGGGGCATCCAGGAGGATAAAGAATTCTGGGATAGAGGAGGCGTGAGAAATCTGGCCAGGAAGATGTGACAAGAGGGACGAATGATACCTGAACACACGTAACCAGACACATGGCAGGATGTTGCTTAGAATAAATGGGATATTTTAAGTTATAGCTAGTCAGATAAGAGCCTAACTATATGACCAAGGTATTTGTAATTAAATTTTGAGTCTAAGTCTTATTTCTGGGAGCATGGGGCCAGGAGGAAGAACCAGGACCTAATTTCTACACCCATTCTTATGAAAGAGGTACCATGTGCTTTGCATCCTCCATCCTCCAACCTATCTTTATGCTTATTACAAACCCTTCTTCCCTAGGCCCTTATCCTGAGCGCTGTTTATCTTTTAATAGAATTTATTCTTATAATAACGGTCGCAGGTGCTTTGCTAAAGAGATGAACTTTGTAAGAGAGTCTCGATGCGGTCAAGCCTAAAGCTTTGTAGTGATCAGTGTCTTGTGAAAACTTTTTTCTAAAGTTATACTGTATTTAAATATGTAAGAAAAAAAAGATGCTTGATCAGAGACCAGAAACTTTTGACTCTGCACAGGCTAATGTCATGCTCACTAGACTATGTCAGCATGACTTTAAGTTAATATAACTTAACCTCACCTGGATTAGTTCCTGGCTGGTTTACTAGACACTCATGATACTTGCAGGGACCACCACATAACTTTATTTTTAACTTTAAGTAGATAAAAATTAAACCCAGTGAATTACGAATTACAGGGTGGCTACCAAGAAAGTGGAAGAGAAAGCAAGCATTATTCTTTAAAAGTTGATTGAATAACTTAATTCAATACTTAACTATTGAAGTCAAGGAGAGCTACTGAATAATACTATGAGAAAGATGGAAACAGATGGACGTAGCTGAAGGAAACAAGGAAAGGCAGCAAAAATACGTTAAACTTTCAAAACACAGAATATAGAACTTTCACATGATCAAAATATAAAATATGTAAACCAGGATCATAAGGTGGTGCAGTAGGTAAAGGCAATTGCCTCCAAGCCTGACTTCTGCTAAGCCAAACATACATACACACACAAAATAAATAATAAACAACTTTAAATATGTAAAGCAAAAAAATTAAGAGTACTGTAAGAAAAGAAAGCCACATAATGATGATCTTAACAGTGTCTCATTAATTAATTTATAAGCTGTGCGACTTGACTCCAGACTCCAAAGTGCTTATCCTTAGTGATAATCAGGGAAACCAAGACCATAAAGAATTACACATCCTTACAAACGTCCACAGAATCAAATTCACGTCTGGTGACTCTAAGCATGAGTTTCTGCATCCAGTCACGCAGAGAGGTCCAGTCTTTCTGTAAGCATGAGTTGCTCTGACCACCACAGGTGCACATCCTGGAACTCCCATAGTAGCCAAAGGAGCTGTCAACCAGGATAAAGTCAGAAGATGACAGACAGACCACAGAGAGAAACAGTCAGCTGTGGGGCAGAACTTTAAAGCAGGATACAGCGAGAGGAACTTGGGAGACATTGAACTTTTCTACACACCATCGAGGATGATGGATACATGACTTTTTAAATAGTGAATAAAATTTATTTTAGAAGAATATTACAAAACATTAACTATATATGGCTCATTTTAGAAGATGGTCTGGAAATTATAGCTAGTGATTTTTTTAATTAATTAATTTATTTACTTTACATCTCAGTTGAAACTTCCCCTCCCTCCTCTCCTCCCAGGCCCTCCCTCTCACCTCACTTACTCCCTCCCCTCCCTTTCTCTCCAGAAAGAAGCCTTCCATGGTTGTCAACCTGCTTGCTTAGGCAGATCAAGTTGCAACAAGGCTAGGCACATCTTCTCCTGGTGAGCCTAGACATGCCAGCCCAGTTAGAGAAAAAAGATCCAAAGGCAGGCAACAGAGTCAGGGTCAGCCCCTACTCTACTTATTAAGGGTCCCACATGAAGATCAAGCTACACATCTGTTACATATGTGTAGTGAGCCTAGGTCTGTCCTATGCATGTTCTTTGGTTGGTGGTTCAGTCTCTGTGAGAGCTTACGTGACTTTTTACACTGGTCTAAGGTTGTAAACTTAAAAATAGAATATAATCTTAAAAATGTTGTGAGTTCAGCCAACCATCGGACTGAGCCCAGGGACTCCAATGGAGAAGTTAGGGGAAGAACTGAAGGAGCCAAAGGGGATTACAAACCCATAGAAAGAACAATATCAACTAACCAGACCACCCAGAACTCCCAGGGACTAAACCACCAACCAAAGAGTATACATGAAGGGACCCTTGGCTCGCACTACATATGCAGCAGAGGATGGCCTTATCTGGCATCAATAGGAGGGGAGTGCCTTGGTCCTGTGAAGGCTGGATGCCCCAGTGTAAGGAGAATGCTAGGGCGGTGAGGCAGGAGAGGGTGGGTGGATGGGGGAGTGCCCTCATAGAAGCAGGGGGAGGGGAGATGGGATAGGGGCTTTGCAGAGGGGAAACTCGGGAAAGGGACAACATTTGAACTGTAAATAAATAAAATAACCAATTATAAAAAATCTTTGTGAGTTGTTAATTATTTGGAGACATTCCTTTTCTCAACCAGCCATCACGTGTGACTCTAGAGAGCTCTGGCCCATAGCACCAGTGGTCAGAGCCCAAGTAGCTGAGGTAGGCACTAGGCACTGGTCCTCAAGGGCAGCGCAGCACTCCTGTCCTTGGAGGACACTGTGAGACTCGAGCCACTGGGACTGTTTGTCAGCCTCGTCCAAGGGACAGTGAGAGTGGCTCCGCAGCAGTGAGTAAAGGGCTCCCTGACTACAGCAGAGTTGAAAGCAATTCTGGCAGCTTCTGAGCCAGTGGCTTTTTAGCATCCCGCACAAAACTGTTTCAATGTTCCAACGGTCAGCATTGACTTGCTAGCATGTGCTGTATGTGTCCGTCCAGAATGTCTCCTGAGAAAACTGGAGCAGGTGTGCTGCAGGCTTTGTGAAGAGAATGTTTATGCAGCTGCTGACTCACTCTGATTAGAAAGAAAAAAACAGATGGGAAGGGGGATCCATGAATTATGGTGGGTTCATACAGTAGAGTGTTCAACAGTAAGAAAACAAACTACAACTAAAGGCACTGTGAGGGTTTAAGGAACAGAACTAAGCGGGGGGCACACATGAAGTGTATACACTCTGAGTCTATTCACACAAACTCCTTAATAACCGAAATTTAACTATTCAATAGAAAAACACAAATATGACAAATGTGCAAGGAAATTATTATCTGGGTATAAACAGAATGGAGGGACGTTCCAGAACAACTGAGATGACCTTTGCTTGGGAGCTATTTGTATCTCAGCCTTACACAATTAGTGCACTTTGTCTATTCGATATATTGTAATAAAAGGTAATCTAACAATAAAATCTAATAATAAAAGGTAAGCTAATTAAAGAAAAAGTCTTGGTGGCAGCTGGCAGTGATGGGTTTATAGATGAACTATGACAGTACAAATGCCAGCTCAGGCAGGGCTGTGATTGGAGAACCAGCCAGCAGGAGTGCTATTTATCCAGTGTCCCCAGCACAGGACACAGAGCATTCTGGGTAGAGGTGAAAGGCCAGAGTCAGCAAGACACTTCCAAAGCAAGCTTCCCAAGGAGAATGGGCACCCAGGGAAAAGTAAGTGAATAACCTGTCAGCACTGGGCTGCTGCTTCTGCTGTGTCTTTGCACACTTGCTGAAGATGCTTGCTTCCCGGTTACACTAGAGGCACCGTGACTGAAGTCAACTAAGGTTAGGAGCAGTCCCCAAGCTAGAACTCTGCTCTAGAGAAGAACGACTCTGATTTGCCAAAGTGTCCAGGGCACTCCCACAGGATTTAAAGGGGATGGGGAGGAAATGAGTTACCCGTGCTCTGACATCCATCCATGCAGAGCGTGTAGTTAAGGCACGTGAACCGATGGGATGTAGATTCTGAAATGCTGTGTATATATGACTCCATGGAAGGACACGCCAAGGCTTTTCAATGTAAGGAGAAACACATGGGGTTTTTTCTTCCATTTCAAAATCTCTTGTAATGAACATACACAGCATTTGTGATATAAAAAATACCAATTTAAACCATAATTAAGTACTGCCTAAGAATAATGGAGAACCAAGTGTTCAAACGGTCAAAAACAATTATACCAATAGTACAAATAGTAGTTAGGACGACGGATTAAATAAACTTTCTTTCCATTTTATTTATATTTGATATTTAAAATGTAATTTGAGACTGAAGAAATTAATGTAGGAATTAATTATAAAACCTTGGATTTTTATTTTCTTTGCATGTACATCTCCTCAATTCTTTTACAAAAAGAACAATTTTATTTAATTTATATTTTACTGATAAATTGACTGTATAAGTCTTCCTTCCCAGATTTTTTACCATCTGGAGACCTTAACTGAATTTAATTTGGTGGATATAGGATTGAACTTTCTTTTCTAACAGTTCCAGAGTGACAGGAATACCTGTTGATCCAACAGACACAGTTTAATTTCCGGTTAAACTTTACCATAACATTACAGATTAATTAAAAATAACAAATTGGTACAACTGACCTTCTGGGTGTTCTATAACCACACTCAGAAACCCACACTGATATGGTCAGAGAAACTAAAGTCTAGGATATATTCCCCTCATCCTACAAGAGCAGCTAAGTCCCAGGGAACTGTACAACATCTTTCAAAATGTCCTGTAACTGTGGGGACAGCTCTCTTGTTTGGGAGGCTTTGTCTATGCCACTGAATGGATTCTACCCATCGTCCAGTCTGCCAAGAGGTTGATCAACACAGAGGGAAAATTGCAACAGTCAAGCAAGGCCTCTGACTTACCCTCACGTAGATAGACTAAAAGACAAAAGAAAGACTCAACAAGCCAGGGTCTTCTCCCAAGCCCAAGTCATACCTGAGAACCAGGTCTTTAACTGCCCTTGGGAGGGAACAAAAGAATTCATTCTAACCACTTACATGTTCTTAAACACTCAGCAGAAAAAATATAACAAGAATTAAAATAATCAATGTTCTTTAACAGCTCAGTGAACTATAATCCTCAGATATTGTACATAGCCATATGAGAGATTATTTGGAAAAAATTCTCACTAACAGTTCTTTGTCTGGAAAATAGATACACTGCCCAGATACAGGACAAGACCTTAACTTACTTCAATGCTGTGATATCTCTCTCTTCAGGGGAAGTGGAAACAGTGTTATATTCTTAAATATTGAGGCCAAACTTTTAAAACTTGTGTTTACCAACAACCACAGCACACACTTTTTAGACGTGTATTTCTGACAGGTGTTGTGTGTCTTTTCTGCACCCAAACCTTTTGTGTTTACTGATAAAAGGAGACTACCAAAGGCCATGCTGTCAAACTCAGGTTTGAAAAATTATTCAGGACACCCAAATGGTGTCCCTGGATATTGTAACACAATCCCACTAAAAATACACTTCTCTTTTAGAGTACCAATTAGCTGCTGCTGTCTGCTTGTGACGTTAACAGCAAGTATCAGGGTTTCTCTCAGGTCTGGCCCGTCCTGGCCATCTCCACTGAGCATTGTACCTGGTCCATGGGCTCAGGCATCTATTGCTGAAAATGCACTGACCATGGAACAGTTACCTTAACTGACGTCTCATATGTTTCCAAGTGTCTACTCCCTGTGCAGGAGTCTAACGTAACAAACAGATGATTGCATAGTTACATAGATCAATATAACTCGATCTAGCAAATATGAGTTATATCAATCAAGATGTAAAAAAAAAAAGAGAGAGAATGTATCCATTTACAGGGTTCTAGTATGAAGGTTATGATACAGTGTCCAGACAGCCACACAGTTTCACAATGCTAAGTAGGACTTGCGTTAATCATAACATGAAAAAAATCTTCCTCACTGACTGTCTCTTCCTCATGAGGATACAGTAAAAGAAACTCAGTGACTGACTTCTGAATGTAAGTTGGCTGATGAAAGTCTCCTTGAATGCCTGAGACAGACAAGTGGCTTCTCCACGCTCTACATCTTATGGTGAACGACAGTGGTGGCAGAATCGCCAGTCTTGTTGAAACCTAGCAAAGGCTGCTGAGGATTCTTTAAATGGCCTTCTCACCTGTTCTCTTCCTCCAATAAGGACAAAGCTGCCCCAGCTATTTTTCTGTGTTCTCAGTAGAATTGCAGTACTGCTAACAATCTCACCTGTTGTATTCAGTTGCACAGCATGCTCCTAAAATACCTGCTACCACCAAATGGCTGTTATGTTCTGAATCTCTGCCATCACCTTGGCATTATCTTGGCCTCTTAGATTAACCACTCTCTGAGGCGATCTGACTGCTGTCCCATCTGCATCAACCCTATTGTTAGCATTAGCTCAAAACAGTTATGAGTGGTCTGCACCCCCAAATCCCTACAGTACAGTACATCCCAACTGCAGTTTTTCCTCCCTCCTCTCCTTCCAATCCTACCCTTCCTCCTCCCTTTCCCCACTAATCCACTCCTTCTTCCTTTCTCTTCAGAAAAGTGGAAGCTTCTCATGGTTATCAACTAGCCTTAGCATTTCAAGTTGCAGTAAGACTAGGTGCATCTTCTCCTATTGAGGCTAAAGTAGTCAGCCCACTAGGGGAAAGGGGTCCCAGAGTCAGGCAACAGTCAGAGACAGCCCATGCTCTCACTGTTGGGAGTCCCAAATGAACACTAAGCTACACAACTGTTACATATGTGCAGAGGGCATGGGTCCGTGCCATGGATGTTCTCTGATTGGTAGGTAGCTAATGCTTTGTAACCACTGAACTATCTCCAGCCCAGGAATTTTCTTAACATATCGCAGTGAATGAAACTGAAAATGTCCATCGACATTTTCGTGGCCCAGCTAAATCCACACTAAATTGGGTCTCTACACAGCTATGTCACCATGTCAGAAAAGTAAGGTTGCAAATCAGTAATTCCAGGTCCTACTTCCAGGTCTGACCCAGAAATAGAAGACTATAATAAGGTCAAGCAAAGAGAAGAGAGAAAGCAGGAAAGGGAACAGCAGAGGATAACACGCTTAAAAACAACAAGCAATGGCGAACATGAAGAAAACAATGAGCAGGTTCTTGAAAAGAATACACTTAACAAAGCTCTGGCACCGCTGCGGGAAAGGCAGACACTAAAAGTAGACTATCCTGGGTAAGGGGGGACACTGTACAACTCCACATCTTGTGCTCTCTCCTTGAGTAAACCTACCATATAGATTCATAGGAACCTCCTTCAAGCAACAAGAAAGTACATATTTACAGGGATTTCAAAGAAACTGGTTAACAATTATCTGACTTGAATCATTTTAATAAGCAACAAGAAAGTATACATTCACAGAGATTCGAAAGAAACTGGTTTAATAATTATCGGACTTGAATAATTTTAATAACTATTTGACAGAAAGTTTCTATTCCAGCCCTTTTTCTCGTAAATTCATTCATTCATTCACTTTACATCCCAACTGTGGCCCCCTTCCTCCTGGCACACCCCTCACATGACCCTTTCCCAATGCCCACTTACCTTCATTCTGAGAAGGGGAGGTCTACCCTGGGTACCAACTCACCCTGGCACCTCAAGCCACTGTAGGACTAGGTACATCCTCTCCCCGTGCGGCTCTTCAGTTGATGATTCAGTCTCTGGGAGCCCCCAAGGGTCCACATTAATTGACTCTGTTAGTCTTCTTGTGGAGTCCCTATCCACTCCAGGTCCCTCAGTCCTTCCTCCAACTCTTCCACAAGGCTCCCCAGCCCCATCTAATGTTTGGTTGTTGGTTCCTGCATCTTTTCTCATCAGCTGCTGGGTGGAACCTCTCAGAAGACAGTTATGTTAGGCTCCTGTCTGGGATCAAAACAGAGTATCATTAACAGGAATTGATTCTTGCCCATGGGATCTCAAGTTGGGCCAGCCGTTGGTTGGCCTTCTCTCAGTCTCTGTTCCTTCTGTGTCCCTGCGCTTCTTGTAGGCAGGACACATTTTGGATCAAAGTTTTTGTGGGTGAGTTGCTGTCCTTACCCCTCCACTGGGAGTCCTGCCTGGCCACAGGAGGTGACCACTTCAGGCTCCATATCCCTCACTGCTGGGAGTCTCAGCTAGAGTCACCCTCACAGACTCCCTGGAGCTTCCTCTACCCCAGGTCTCTGATACATCCTAGAGATAACTTCACCCTCTTCACAAATTTCCATTCACTCTTCCTCCCCTCTCTCCCTGGCTCTCCCTACACCTGATTCCCCCCACCTACCTCATTCCCCTCCACGTCCCCTCCACCCACCTCCAATGACTACTTTATTTCCCCTTCTGAGTGAGGTTCAAGCATCTACTTTGGGCCTTCCTTGTTATTTAGCTTCTTTGAGTCTGTGGATTGAAGCATGGGTATCCTGTACTATATGGTTAATATCTACTTATAAGTGAGTGCATTCTGTGAATGCCCTTCTGGGTCTGGGTTAACTCACTCTGGATGATATTTTCTAGTTCCATCCATTTGCCTGGAAATTTCATGATGTTCTTGTTATTAGTAGCTGTGTAGTTTTCCAATGTGTAAAAAAAAATGTGTAAAAAAAAATTTTTAAACCACATTTTAAAATATATTCTTTGGTTGAAGGGCATCTGGATTTTTTTCAGTTTCTAGCTACTATGAATGAAACTGCTATGTGTGGGGAAAATTACAGGCTGCAGCTGTGGTATCCCCAGGGGTTTCCACGCTGCAGCTAGTCCCACATGCAGGAGGAACGTCTAATGTTCCAGCAGCCTGGAGGCTTTGGTGGCAGCAGGCCCCAATGACACGAGGAAGTCCTTGGTTCCAGAAAGGTTTATTGTCATGGCGGATGGTGGATGGATCTAGGCGTATCCCCCTAAAACTCAGGGCAGTCCTGAGTTATATAGGGAGGGAGAAAGGGGGAGGATTGGGGGAGGATCTGGGGAGGATCTGGGGAGGATCTGGGGAGGCATGCTTAATTTACTCCACCTTCTGCCCTTCATTAGTATGTAAATCCCTAGGCCCTGAGGCCTCTAGTCATACCCTCTACCTGTGCACTTTGGGAGGGGTTGTCCTACGTGACTGAACAATGTAGATCTATGGAAGCTAGACTGCTTTTCAGGACCCTGGGTTCTTGGGGCATGCCAAACTCCTGCCAGTTCTCATGCAGAGTCTTGGGGTTCTAGGCAACTGCCCAGCCATGACACAGAATACCCTTATGCAGTCCCACAGCTATGAACATAGTTGAGCAACTGTCCTTGTGATATGGTCGAGCATCTCTTGGGTAGGAGTGAGTCTTGAGGTAGGGCTATTCCCAATTTTCCGAGAAACTGCAAAATTGATTTCCAGAGTGGTTGTACACGTTTACACTCCCACCAGCAATAGAAGAGTGTTCCCCTTGCTCCACATCCTTGCCAGCCTATGATGTTCATTGAGTTTATCTTAGCCATTCTGAAGGGTGTAAAGTGGAATTTCAGAGTCATTTTGATTTGTAATTCTCTGATGACTAAGGATATTGAACATTTCTTTAAGTGCTTCTCAGCTATTAGAGATTCCTCTGTTGAAAATTATCTGTTTAGCTCTGTATTCCATTTTTTAAATGGGTTATTTGGTTTGTTGGTGTCTAATTTCTTGAGTTCTTTATATTGTTGATCTTAGTGCCTGAGCTGTTGGTGTCCTGTTCAGAAAGTTGTCTCCTGTGACAATGTGTTCAAGGCTATTCCCTCACTTTCTCTTCTATTTGACTTAGTGTAAGTGGTTTTACATTGAGGTCTTTGATACACTTGGACTTGAGTTTTGTGTAGGTTGATAAATATAGATCCATTTGCATTCTTCTATGAAGTGAAAGTTTCTAGTTGTGTCATGTGATACTTACTCACATGGTATTTTGGTGAGGCAAGACATTGGAGGACATATGATATTTGGAGAAGGTATAAATAGGACTCAATGGACTGTGACAGAGTGCTTACATAACTAGCTGTGCGACTCTTTGTTGGCAACTTTACTGATCTTTCCTTTGTTGAGAGAGGCATAGAAGAGAATTCCTGAAGTTCTGGCTGGTCCTGGCCACTCTGCTGACTCGTGCCAATTTGGCAGAGGCTTAGTAGTTTCTGCTGGATTGTGCCATCATTGCTCATTTGTGTTTGGTGACACTTTTAAACTGGACTGTTGGTATCCTGGCATTACTGAACTGTACTGCTGGTATCCTGACAAACAGAGATTGGAATTGCCCAAAGAACTACTAAATAGGTCCATATCCACCTTGTCCTATTTACCATCTTTCTCCCCTACTTTTGGACTGTGAGCTAGAAAGGACAGGGTATCAAAGTGTTTGAGAACCCTTATTAAAGTAAGTTTTGAAAACTCTAAGCCTATAGGTGGCACTCATCATGGCCTCAGCATAATGAGTAATTCTGCTTTGAATGTGGTAGAGGAAAGGTCAGGTTATTAGGGATTAGCAAACTGTGTACTGTGTTCTCTAAAAGTACAGATGAGAGAAAAAATGGTTTGTTTGTATATTAACATATTGACTTTGTAGTACATGGAAGGTATTCAAACAACTTATAAATACTTGTCTAAATCTTTGGGGGAAAGATCCCCATAAATACAGCAGAAGTTTGTGAAAGTCATCTACATAAAAGTAGTGACTAAATGCATAAAAATATAAGATAATTTGTAATATGGTGATGATGGACTGCTAACAGAACCTATAAGGCATACTGAAGACCTCCGCAGAGGGGAGACCCTCACTCAAGTCTCAGAAAGTCGCGACCACCCAGTAATCTGCTCGAGACACCATGTACCAGAGCAATTGCGAGATTTATTAGGGCGTGACAACTAGCTGCCAGTCAATTCATATGCCCATGCAGGAGCTGAATTGACCCCGACAGCCAGTTTGAGATGAGTTTTTAAAGGGAAAAACCACAAACCAAGGAATGGGGAGGGGAATGAGGGGTTGTTGAGGTGGCATAACATAAAAATAGTGGAACATTCCAAAGGAACCCAACCTACATGAGTCAGGGTCAGGTGAAAGCTCTCTGTACGCTTATCTTTCTCAAGAATGTGGTCCCGCCCTGTTACTTCGGCCTTGCCCTGTCACTGCGGTTCCCAGCTTGGTTCTCAACTTGGTTCTCAGCTTGGTTCCACCTAGTTCATTGCATTCTTTCCTTTCTCTTTGCAGATAGGCCAGTTCCAGTAATGGTGACTGGTCTTTCCACATTCCTAACTTGCTTCATGGCTTGGTTTCTCCATGTCTTTATAAAGAAAGCCTAAAGAATATTTTATATGTCTAAAAAGGATTCTATATACCCAGTATCTATAATTTTTCACTCTACAATACTTTGCCATCAGTTCGCTCTCTAACACCATTCTCCAGTGATTAGCATTTATGATCACCACCATCAGATGGTGTTCACTCTTTACTCCATAGCTCACTGTTTCCAAGATCCCTCAGACCTTGGATCACAAATAACCCCACACTGTAATATTACTGGGTCCAGCATGGCTACAGAAAAGACAGTGTGACATGGTTCCTGCCCCTGTGGCAGAGCCAGCAGGACATGAGTCTCCTGATGGTTGCTGAAAACATTAAGGCTTGCTTGCATAATAATATACATATTTTACTTCATGTTCTTTCATTGGGGAAGGTTAATGACTCCTTGATAATCAGAAGCAGCACGATTCTGGGAAGTGAGAGTGTGTCTGGTAATTCTCAGCAATATAATGTCTGTGACCTTCAGGACAGCCCTTAAGGCTGTGGGAAAGAACTCTGAAAACATGAGTTCAAAAATATATAAATTAGTGTAAGATTATGCTGTTCTTTACAGGACTCCTCAACTATGCAAAATGTAAGGCTCCAATATGAATAGTATGAGGGGCTCTACGAACCTGAAAGAACAGAGGCAGCTGCACTAGTGAGTCAGCTTAATCAGAAAGATATTAAAGACAGAGACATGATTTGGTCAAAGAGGGAAAAGGCTGGTATCAAGAAAAAGAGATGATGGCTTAATAATATTCCTACTTTCTGGGATCACTTAATACTTTCCAATAGTAAGCCTTGGAGTTGCTGAGATAAAGAAGAAAAATGCAAAGATTAAAGGAATATGTTGAGGTAACTAAGAATTATAAATATGAGCTTCAATGCTGCTCGCATCTACACAAACAAGAGCTTGATAACCTGCAAAAAAAAAAAATTAGAAAAAGTGTTATACTTAAAGCTAATTTTCTCACATAGAAATAGCCTTTATGTCTAAACTTGGCAACCACAAGTACTTTGCCCAGCAAACTGCATAGGATTTGCAATGCTTAAAAAAAAAAAAAATGCTGTCTGGTTCATTTGTCTCAAACATGCTCTGAATTTTTAAGGTCATGGGTCAAGGTCATAAAATGCTAATTCATGGAATGATCAAAAGGGAACCTGGGATAAATGGTTAAACTGATATGCAATTTCTAAGGAAGTAGTTTATGTAAATAAAAGTCTGGTCTTTGGTCTGCATGAGAGAGCTATCTTGAGCAGATCACAGAGCTGTCAGCTTGCATCCTTCACTGACTCTGAGCCATTCTTCCACCACACCCAGACATCCTTCCTCAGAACACTCTTGCAAGATGAGGCTGGCACATGACATAATATCATCACAATTATAAAGTAACTAGTGGTCTATTTCATTCATAATAACAGCAAATGCATGGCTTCCAGCCAGGACTGGTGGTGTGTGCCTGTAATGACAGCCCAGGGATGCGGAGGCAGGAGGATCATAAGTTCAAGGGCAGACTGGCCTACATAACAGGACCGTTATACATGTGCTTTCCTATAAATATAAGCAATATTTGTCAGACTGACTTGAATATAGAAGCTGAAAACATAATAAAAAAATTATAGTGGGGTGAAAACATATATTCAGCATATATTTAGACTTTTTCATTTTTTCCTACTGAGTATAGATGAATTAAGTACATTCTAGTGATGATTAATATGAGTCTTCCTGAACCTCTTCGGTATCCCTTTCTCCATCTACTCTACCCAGGTGATCAGGTGCAAAGCTGCTATACTCTGGAAGCCCAGAGCCCCACTTGCCATTGAGGAGATAGAAGTGGCCCCACCAAAAGCGAAAGAGGTCCGAATAAAGGTAAAACAAATTCAACATTTCTATATCAAAACAAAAGCCGTTCGCTGTATATCCTTTCCAGAATTTCCTATTCAAAATTAAAACTACATATTCTTTTGTCTAGAAAATGTTAGGGAGGATTAGTACATTTTTACACTGCTGAGTTGAATAAGAAAACTAGTTCGATGTTTTGTTTTGTTTTTTTTTTTTTAAGTTTAGTTGCATGCTTGGAATTACTAGAGAGCTTGGGAAATGCTAACTGCATCTCATCTCAAATTAGGAGTTGATTGGCTAGGCATGTCACATATCCCCAGATGAATCTAACTGGCTCCCAGCAAGCTAGGATGCAGTTCACCTGATTTACAGTTCAAGGTCATTAGATTATTTTCATTTCAGTGGTGGAGACATGTATTGTTTACTGGTGGACTCCAGAGAGATAGCTATTTCTAAGTTCCCTTACCTACACAATCCATACCCTCTTCTCCTGCACCTTCTGTGATAGTTATTCTCTACTGAATGATGAGTATGGCATTTAGCAATCCCCACAGACTACACCCCAAGGTCATAACTCTTACAAATGGTTTTAGACTCAAAGACACCCAGCCATTATCTGACAAACTACAATCAGACTCTCTCACCTGTGCATTTGATCCAAAATACAGAGCAGGGTAGATTATGGTAAGCAGTGGAGGGGCTAAATGGGGGTGGTGCTGGTAGCCATAATTATTCAGGTGATTATGATAGATAAAGGTAGAAAACTTGCCTTCTGTAGATAACAGGACAAAGCATGCTGGAGCCACTGAATCAGAGGAGAAGAATAGACATAGACTAGATTTGTGGGTGAATTTCTAGAACCACAAGGCTTCAATGTATGCCCAATCATCATGTCATCACAAGAACAACACAGTTAGGACTTGCAATGAAGTAGGACCGTTAACAAAACTTTAACTGTCTTTGCAAAAATGAACCTTAGCTAGGATAGAGAGTTAAGAAAGAACATTTTGTTCCTTTACACAAATAATGATTACAGTTGCCAATGGTGAGAGCTGAGTAGAAGTGAACGCACTAGGGACCTTCAGAGAGCAGCCAGTCTGAAGCCTTCACAACAGAGCAACCTCTGTTCTCTGTGCTTTCCACACAGATTGTGGCCACAGGAATCTGTGGTACTGATATCAATAGTATGGACACTGAACAGCTTTCTCAGCTTTGCCCCATCATTATGGGTCATGAAGGCGTTGGGATAGTCGAGAGTGTTGGAGAAGAAGTAAGCACAGTAAGAACAGGTAAGAAGCAAAGCCCGGCACTGAGAAACAACAAGGCTTGGAATCCACAGTGGAAAACCGACTTAAGGCCATCCTTTAAGCGTGTTGTGATGAAACAACCAAAATGAAAGGCAGAACACTGCCCACTTCTGAGAGGAGGAGTTGTAATTGTTTCTAAATTACACCACAATCATAGAGAGGTTTATTCTTCAGATTTATATTTTTAAGTAGAATGCACCAAATCTCTACCTAATAAAGATACACATGAAGAGGAAAATTACAGAAAATGGGAAAAACCGGCATGCACTACTGAACAATTGTTTAATTAAAGCAAGGGCAATGGGCTAATATTGATTGGTTGGGTCTTTTGGATCCCCTTGACCAACAACCTGAAGGGAGGTGTTCCTTCACTGGCACTGGGAGTTCAGATAGCCTCTGGCTCCTGAAGAAAGTGCTGTCACCTTAGGTGTGACAATTCAATTTAAACAGGGTGTGGGGGTGTGTATGAGTATTTACATATATATATATGTGTGTATATATGTGTGTAAATGCGTATATAGTATGAATATAAGTGTATATATGTATAGATATGTGTAGAACTGTGTATGTAATATATGTATATACACATATGTGTGTATATACATACTTATTATATGGTTATTGTTAAGTAGGCTTATTAAATAATCTTTCATCGTGGCTTTTTCAAATATCTTTAGTCTTGTTTATCGTTCCTCACTCTTTCTCCCTCTGTATTCCCTATTTGCCCCTCCCAGTTTGGTCGTGACCTCGTTTCTTCCATTTCCTCCTCCATAGCATCCTTGTCCTACGGCCTTCTCTCTGGAACAACTTCTCTCTGCCTCTCTCGTGGTTCCTTTTGATTTCCTGGTTCCTGGGGTTACTTCAGGTTTTAAGTTCAAATTCATGGATTTAGAACTAGGGTCCACAGACAGAAGAGAACATCTGGCGTTTGTCTTTCTGGCTTCCGTTTGACGCTGAGTATATTTTCCAACTCCATCCGTTTATCTGTAAGTTTCACGAATTCACGTTCTTTGGAAATGATACCATTGTGTGAATGAATTGTGTTTTATTATACTTTAGTCAGCTGAAGACCATCTAGGCAGCTTTCATTCTGTCTCTGCTTTCAATAAGTCCAGTGAATATGGTGGACAAATACCTGTGTAGTCAAATATTGAGTCCTTTGAGCTTATGCTGAAGAACAGTTACACTGGGTTATGCAATAGATAAACGTTGAGCTTTTTGAGAATTCTCCACACTATTTCCAAGGTGTCTGTGAGTGCAGAGTGGCTTCCAGTCTGCAATGCCACCAGCGGGAACTGGGATCTCCCTTTCCCCATGTTTCAGCAGCACCTGTTGGCAGTTGGTTTCTTGATCCTAAACCATTCTGACTTGCGTAAGGTGAACTCTCAAAATCATTTTAACATGCATCTCTCTTCTTTCTAAGGTTGATGGCCATTTTCTTGGCCACTTTCACTTCTCCTTTTGACTATTCAGGGTCATTCACCCATTTTAAAAAAAAAAAACCTAGTTGTTTTCTTGATTCTTTGTTCTTTGAGATCTTTGTCCACTCTGGATATTAATCCTCTATCAAATACACAGCTGCAAACATTCTCTTACACCCTGGGCTTCCTCTTCTGTGCGGGGCGCGCGTGTAGTGGTCTCGCCGGCAAAAAACATACACACACGCGCGCACACACACACATCACACACACGCCAGAATCCTTCCGTATGAACACGTTTATTTCCCCAAAACCAAGATGGTGGAAGAAGACGAGAAGGCGTGGGAAAGCACTGCCTATATACCCCAGAGCGGGGTATTCACCCCCTGATTGGCTGCTTACTCGTAGCGCGCCAAACGCCGTGGGATGGGCTTAGCTTTGGCGGGCTAACCATGGCACATGCGCAGTTTACTTGGTACTAGGAAGAATTACGGGCGACAGCGCCACCTAGCGATGGCGGACTTTGTCAGCTCTCGTGGCGGCTCCCAACAACTGCCCCTTTTTGTTTAAATATAGAGGGTGGCAGAGGTCCCTGGGAAGGTTTCGTAACTCCCAATTTTGGGGGATCTCACGGCGGGTCTGAGTCTCTTTAGAGGGCGGTGCTCAAACTCTTACCCGTCACGGGGTCAGCCTCCCCACCCGAGGCTGCCCTGTCTTAGGTGGCCGAGCCTTATCCGTCCACTCCGTTATTGACTTACCAGACCTTCTATCCGTGGAACGAACACCTTAGTGGGCAGGGACTGTGTACAGAAATGTTTGAGGCTTTACAGGGTGTCTTTACCAGAAGCCCTAGGGTGCAGCGGCTGAGGAATCTGTCTACTGGCTATTTCCTTTTAGATTTGTCAAACAGACACTGGCCAATGTCCCGTGTCTAGGCTGACTGACATTTCTTCACAGCCAGCACCAAAGAATGGTGAGCGCTCTGGCTAGGCTACGAGGGTCGCGCACCCACACCTGGCATTCTCTGAATGTGCGCTCCAGGTTGTGGCCACTCGTAATGCCTGTCACCGGGTAATATCACCATTCGTGGTATACCTCTGGCATATGAGATCAGCTTATTCCCGTCGTTGGGATCAATTGACAGCCGGTCTGGAGACAAAAGGATGGAGTTATCTAACTGACTGCCCTTAGCCTGTCTAGCATGGTACCAGTTATGACTCAAACCTAAGGCCTGATCAAGCAAATTCCATCTTGGGGGAATAAGCGATCAAAGAACCAACAGTTTAAAACCGTCTCCCTTACCCTACCAGGTGCAATGGAAACACAAGTCCTCTGGGTGCAAGGGCTAAGGGGAACAGAAAGAGATGCAAACACCCATCCCTGTGCAATGGAGTCATCTCCTAGGGGTGCAAGGGCTGTTTGTCTCAAAACTCAGGTACCACAGCTATACAGACAAGAATCAGCCAGGCCGAGACTCCTCACTGACCCAGTGTATTGGGCAAATCTCTGGAGTGCAACGCTGATGGCCTAACATTTAGCACCACCACTCGCAAGGGGAGGACTGCTCATTTTCGAAGCAGTGAAAGCTACACTGCAGGGAAAGCCCCTAGTACTTTGGTCACAAACGCCTGGCCAATAATAGCCTTGCCAAAATTCTATTGAGCTATGAGTTCGCAAACCAATCAAAGGATGAATACTAAACCACAACTTAGGGTAAACTAAACCGGCCTATTCCCACCCACTTAAAAAAGGGAAGAAAAGGAAAGGAGGACAGTCTCTCAGTCAGGGACAGATCCACGTGTGTCGAGTTGATGTTCACCACAGCTGCTCCCAATTTTTTGAGTGTCTCACTGAAGTTTTCTGAGCAGTTTCCTGTAAGATACTGAAACAATTTTCTGGACAGATTAGTTACACGAGTAAAGTTTTTATACTGTACACTGGTGATGTAAAGTGTACCCAGTTTTCTCTCACATCTCAATTGGGCTAGTTGAAAGAGGATATCTAATCTCTCTCTCACTAAATCAAGGCGTTGATTAAGGATGATTAGCCCGCCTTTTAGTAGGGTACTGGCGGAGGTTTGAAGGTTAACAGTCTCTGCCACCGTGGCTGACAATTGGGGGTAGTGCCCACCTGAACAGAAGTTGACATAGCAATCTCAGTGGCAGTGGCGATAACGGCACTAATTAATATCGTCGTCACTATGGCTGCAGTTATACCAAATCTCCTTTTTGTCTAAATAATGACAAAGTGGAATGAGTCTCCACGGGGATGGGAACCCATCGCGTGACTCTGGCAACCATAGTGCGAGTGAATCTTTAGAATTCCAACACTGGGACATCCAGCAGGTTTTATTGGTACAATTCTTAAAGGTGGAATTTGATAAAATAAACAAAAATACTAGGAACCTGTATCCCTTGGATCAGTGCAAGGGCTATCATCAGAGCCTGGAGGGTCTGTCTGGGTGTCACCTTCCAGTATCGCGAGTTGTCGCGTCAGCCGTTCTGGTAACCAAAATGGATTGTCTTCTTCCTGTGGAAACACACAGACCGCTCCCCTGGCTTTTAATAAAATAGAATCTGGACCTTTTCATTGTCCGGTCAAGATGTCCTTTTATTTGACCATTTCTTTTGGCCTGTCAAGCTGAAAGTGAGGTTTTAGCCAATTAATCTCTGTTAACAACTTTTGAGAATCACTTTTCTGGAGCAACAAGTATTCTAAAATCTTAAAGCTCGTTGTACTAGAGCAAGGGCTTGTGGAAAACTCCTTTAGAGAGATCAGCCAATAAAATATACAATGAATAATATATACTGAGAGATTTAAACGCTTTAACCTTTTGTATTAAAGCAACAACAAATTTTTTAAGGCCACTAATTATTCTTTGAGGCAAGCCTTTTTTATGAATGGCTTCATGGGCTCTCAAAATTCACAAGTAATTTCACTTAATGTAAACCTCTCACCTTTACCAGGAGGTAAAGGAACTGTATAGAACACTCTTTTAAATCTATAATAATTTTTTATATGCATTTACTTGAATGGCAGCTGGAGTAGGCAAGTCAGGCTGTAGTGCCCCATTAGTCTTATAAATCTTAAATTTGAACTTTCTCTGTGTAGCCCTGGCTGTCCTGGAACTTACTCTGTAGACCAGGCTGACCTTGAACTCAGAAATCCGCCTGCCTCTGCCTCCCAAGTGCTGGGATTAAAGGCGTGCGCCACCACCGCCCGGCCTCTAGGGTTTTTGAATTAATTGAATAACCAACTCTTTTTAGCTGAGTGAAGTATCAAATAAAGCCAAGCTGAAGGCAATCTTGTCCTCTAATAATTGTTAATTAGTCCCAGTATCTATCAATCTTTTAAAACCCTTTTTCTTTTAATTATTAATTTAAGATTAGGTTTTTAGTTACTGATAAGACCTAATATACATCAGAGGAACCAAGGCCATTTTGTCTCTATCACACCCAACAATTTTGGCCTGGCCCAAAAGCTGTTTTGAATTTCTTTTGAGTCTGAGGCTGACACCTCCCTAAGGAACAAGCAAGGCAATAAACAATTTTTAGGGAACACCCTTTTTGAGGTGGGACAGGACAATAGGAACGTCTGAAATCTAAGCTCCTGTCTCAACTACTCTGTTAAAGTCTAATTTAAATGTAAATGTTTTAATCTTGGCCTATATCCTGAGGCCTGGCCCAAGGATTATCTTTCTTGCACCAAGGACAGGTGTGTCAGGTAACCTTGGTCACCTGGCTGTTGTTTAAGTCTCTGTTCCTGGGACAGTCACTTTAAAAACTATCTAAATTTCCACATTTAAAACACTCCCCATCTCTATGGCTCTGTGTAGTTATGGCCAGAACCTGATTGCATGAGGATGCAATTTCATTGCAAAGACAAGTATCTAAGTCCGTCTTTGCTTGTATGTTCTGAGGACTGTGTGGGCAGTTTAACCTGATTAACATCACACTGACCTTGTCTTACAAGCACGTTAAGATCTCAGCCTGTATGTCTTAATTTAAATGTAAATGTTCTTAATCTCTAGCAGGCCAGCACTGTATCACAACTTGTTATAAATATTTTTATTTAACTCTATCTGCTGTCCCCCCCTTTCTATAACATGGGCGAATCAAAAAAAAATTTTTAAACTCAAGATTACAACTGCCAACTGTAGCCAATGGAATACTGGCAGTTTAACTAAATTTTTAAATATCTTTTGTAACATTAGCGTGTAACCATTAATTTTGAGAAGCAAAAGCAAAACCAATTTAAACGATTTATCTTTTCTAAAATCAACACCAAGCAGACCACCCCTATGCTACAAAGTTTTGCTGTTAATTCTCTACACATGAATGCATGAAGCAGCTTTTAATCTCATTGAAGAGACATTGGTCTAAAATCTTACTTTCTATATACCTGGTTTCTGAACGACTCTAACACTGAGCTAGTTCTACGCCACCTTTCGTTATCAAAGTTGTAAATTTTAATTACACCCAATAATTTAAGCCAATAGTCTATAACCAAGACATGTAGAACATTTTTATACTTTTAAAACCAATTAGAAACAACAATTAAGTGGCTATATATCTTATCTTCAGATCAAACAAAATTTGGTGCTATTTCTAGCTGTAATTTTAAGAGAAAAGTACCTTGTCACAGAGATTTTTCTAGGACAAAATGACTCTTAGCTTCTTTATAAAACCCAAAATGCTGCTGGTCTCTTTTAAAAGCAGCTTATGTCAACCTCAATTCCTGAAAAGACCTTTTCTAGTTCTCAAAGGTTGGATCAAGCAGTTTTAACGATCTTTCTTTTTGAACACGTAACAAACACAGAACATTTAGACAACGAAACAAAAGGCAAACACGTGGACATTGGCGCGCCAAGGACAAACAAAGAACTTTTAGGAGCTACAGAGAAGTTCAGGACGTCTCCCGAATTCTCTGTTTCTAGATGAACTCTGAAATAGCCTTTTCATTCCTTTTGTTGACACAGCTCAGAGAGAGGGCACCTGTATTTTTTAAAACTCTTTCTCTCTCTCTCTTATTTAAAATGTAACTTTTCATCTCGTTCATTGGAGATTTAGCGGGTAGTTATTTTAACACTTCAATACCCTGCTTTCTAGTTCCTTTTAACCCTGCTCTTTCCACCTGAAGCGGCCGCAGGCAATGCCTGTTTAGAATTCTCCTGACCTATGTTTCGCTGTTACCTCCTAGGCAAAATCCTCATTCACCTAGACTGACTCTCCCGAAACATTTTTCTTGTAAACACAGCCTCTAATTGACCGTCACTAACGCAAGAACTCGATCTCGTGGCGGCGGCCGTCTATTCGGCTGGCATCTATCCTCCCCATCCCTCTCTACATCTGAGTCCTCTGACTCGGAAGTTAGCCCCTCCGACTCAGAGCTATCACGCCGTAAAAACCCCGGCTCCTTTACCAGATACAGAGGTTTGTTTCTGAGGCTTACTTTCCTTCCGTCTCTCCCGAGAGTGTTCTTCCTCTCCTCTCTCATCCCCGTGGGTTGGTCCTCGGGGAGGCCTGATTTCTTAAATATGTCCCTTTTCTCTTTTCTTTTCTGACTTTTTAAGCGCTTCCATTTCTCTGTCTCTGTTTCTGACATGTGGGCCCATAATTCGTCTATCACTCCCCAGCCCGCCGCCATAACCGAGCAGCTTTTCTCATCCTGCAAAACCAGAAGGAAGAATACCAGCACTGTCTGGGGAGGGAGACGAAAAAAATCAAGACCAAACATTATCTCTCAGAGAACATTACCCCGTCATACGGTTCTGGATTCACTCCACGCGTGAGAAAACGAGCGGAGGGTCTTCTTTAAGCAGCGCCGGCGATCGATGGATTTTCCCGGGTTTCACGGCACCAAATGTGCGGGGCGCGCGTGTAGTGGTCTCGCCGGCAAAAAACATACACACACGCGCCAGAATCCTTCCGTAGAAACACGTTTATTTCCCTAAACCAAAATGGTGGTAGAAGACGAGAAGGCGTGGGAAAGCACTGCCTATATACCCCAGAGCGGGGTATTCACCCCCTGATTGGCTGCTTACTCGTAGCGCGCCAAACGCCGTGGGATGGGCTTAGCTTTGGCGGGCTAACCATGGCACATGCGCAGTTTACTTGGTACTAGGAAGAATTACGGGCGACAGCGCCACCTAGCGATGGCGGACTTTGTCAGCTCTCGTGGCGGCTCCCAACACTCTTCCCTCAGTTGACTGTCCCCTTTGTGGTTGTGTGAGGCCCCACTTGTCAGTTATTGTCTTAACTTCTGAGTGAATGCAGTCCTGTTCAGAAAGCCCTTTCCTACACTGCTGTCTTCTACAGCTCTCCTGTCATCTTCTAGCTGTGTTAGGGATTACACTAAAGTCTTTGATTCATTTGAATTTTCTCCTCCTCCTCCTCCTCCTCCTCCTCCTCCTCCTCCTCCTCCTCCTCTTCTTCTTCTTCTTCTTCTTTTTCTTCTCCTTTTCCTTCTCCTTCTCCTCCTCCTCCTCTTCCTCCTCCTCCTCCACCTCTTCCTCCTCCTCCCCCACCTCTTCCTCCTCCTCCCCCTTCTTCTCTTTTGAAGAGGAGGAGAAGTGCTAGATATGGGTCTTATTTCATCCTCCATATATGTACCTCCAGTTTTCTCATCACTATATGTGAAAGCAGTTGTCTTCCCTCCAGGGTAGATTTTTGCCAACTATCAGATGGCTATAATTATATGCACTTAAGGCTGGGTCTTCTATTCTTATCCATATGATCAAGAACATGTCCAGTTTTATGTCATCATTACACTTCTGTCATATAAATTTAAATATAATATGATATACAATACAGACTTTTTCTTTTTGTTCAGGAGTGTGTAGGTGATCCTGGGTCTTCCATATGAATTTTAGGAATTTTTTGGGGGGAGGTGTCTATTTCCATGATGGATGTCATGGGAAGTTTCATAGGGATTACACTGAACCTGTACATTTCTTTTGATATGATGGTCATTTTCACAATGATCAATCTCCCAACCCATAAACACAAGAGTTTTTCCTTTTTCTAATGTCCTCAACTTCTTTCTTCTCACTTTTGAAGTTTCCACTGTAAAGGTCTTTGACTTCCTAGAACCAAAACAGAAGAGCTTAAGTTCTAACAAAGCTTTTAAATTATAATGGATAACAGATTTCGCTACTTGGCGGGAACAGGCAACAAGCAGTCAGCGAGCTCATCCCAAGCAGACTCTCTGATCTCCCCTCCTGATTTGGACATAGAAATACTAAAATAAATAAATAAGAATAGGAATATACTTTCTTTCCCTTTCTTTCCACACTGGAGGAAGTACAACACAGAGTACACCTGTGGGCAGTCAGGCCCTAATTCTGACTTATTCTGTGAGCACAGTGTGCACACTACTTTAACTCTGGTCCTACAGCGGAAGTCAGCACAGAGAGCAGTAGATGCGGGTTTTAAAGGCACGTAACTAAACTGCTCACCGTGGTATTCCAAACATGCCTTACAAAGTGGGCAGATCTGGAGCCAGCTCCTAGAGATTCAGCCACGGCCATATGGGGACACTGAAAATATCCACTTGTGATCAAGCACAGTTGAATGTGGAAATAACTCTCCATTATCACATGTCCTCCGTGCTTTGCTGTTGACATCCTAAGAGACAAGACTACTCTGCTATTTCATCCTAATAAATCACTTTGCCTTTCTAGGTGATAAAGTTATCGTATTATGTCTGCCACAGTGTGGAGAATGTAATACTTGCCTGAATTCCAAGAACAATATTTGTACAGAAATTAGGTAAGTCTTTTTAAACGTCTAATTCAGTTCCACTTGAAGAGATTTAAGCTTTTTAATAAAAAGTACAATTTGTTTCCTTTCATCTATCAAAGACTGTCATGGAAACATCTGGCAGCTGAAGGCAGAATTACCTGCAAGGGAAAGTTGGTGCATCAATATATTGCTACAGGCACCTTGTGTGAATACACAGTCATAAAGGAAATCTCAGTTGCCAAGATTGATGAAGGCACTCCCCTGGAGAAGGTGTGCATAATTGGCTGTGGCTTTGCCACTGGGTATGGTGCTGCAATCAACTCTGCCAAGGTGAGAAGCACTTACATCCATTTTAAAATAGAATTAGTGGGAAAAGAAGCTGAAAGACCTCTCACATCAGAGTGCTGCCTGGTCAGACCACCTGAAGAAACATATATAAACTGACCGCTAGGCACTGTTTAGTTTATTGAATTATTGGATTGCCTGCACAGGTACCCCACGCCATTCAGGAGTACAGGTATACAGACTTTAAATATAACACAATTACAATTGTATCTTTCCGTACTCCAGTTCATGCAATGAGAAATGGTGACGTTTTTCACTGTTCATCTGAAGGAAAAAAAAAAAAAAAAAACTCGTCAAGCTTCCATTCTAATTGAATAGTATATTAATTAGTAGTAACACTAGGGGCGGTGCTGAAGGCGTACATCAAGGACAGAATACATGCCTGGTGTGTACAGGCCTATGTGTAGCAATAGATAAGAGAACTAGCAGAGCGGTGATTGCGCCAGCCAGGGAATCTCATTCTGATTGAATGGGCTACAGTTAAGCCCCTCCTCCTTCCCCTCCTCCTCCCTCCTCCCTCTCCCCCTCCCCCTGAAATATTACTCTAACCTACCCAGCTCAATTCTTTCAGGGGCCATTGATATTTAAGCCTTTGCATTGTCCACTGTCCTTTAGTCTCAACACTACACACAGAGACTGGGATGTGTCTTAGTCAGTTGTGTGTCGCTGTGAGAAGACACCTACGACAATCTTATTCATACCTACCTCAGACATGTGGTCCATGCTGGTTTGGCTCTGAGGTGTTGGGGTTTCAAGGGGCAGTAAGTCGTGGCAGGGAATCCAGAGTGAGACAAAGCTGATCATCTTGAGTGTCCAGGAACCGGAAGAAAGACTGTGCATAGGATACAAAAAGAAAGGCGAGCAGGAGCCCCCGAATCCCTGTGGCACATGCGCCCGAGTGTTTCCTTTCTACTGGGCTCCTTCAGAAGGTTCTGCTACTTATTTATAATGTCAAGGGCTAGGAATAAGCCTTTATCACGTGTGTCTTTAGGGAATGTTCAAAATGCAAACTAAAATAGCTTAGAAGGGTTCGATTTAAATTGGTGCCAAACTGCATCCTGCTCTATAAAAGGAAGGAAGGAGGGAAGGGAGGGAGGGAGAAAGGAAGGGAGAGAGAGAGGGAGAGAGGGAGGGAGAGAGAGAGGGAGGGAGGGAGGGAGGGAGGGAGGGAGGGAGGGAGGAAAGGAAGAAAGGAAGGAAGGAAGGAAGGAAGGAAGGAAGGAAGGAAGGAAGGAGGAAGGAAGGAAGGAAGGAAGAAAGAATTGACTGCATCCGTAAGCACTGACTCTGAAGTGATTCGGAGTTGCCAGATACCCAGAAGAAAAGAGAAAGAGAATTCTCAAGAAGATAGAGGTATTTGAAAGAACTCAAAACTCTCTACAACTAAAGAAACTGCCCCAATAGAAGATCTAGGGAGATTTCATTGTATTACTTCCACTTGTGCTAATTCCTTCCTGAGACTTGAAACCCTCTCCTTGTAGGTAGGTTTTTGTTACTGTGCTAAAAGTATCACACACCTAAAAATAGCCTAAGAACTAAAATTTTCTTGATGTATTTTTACTTTAAAATGTCCTTTCCTTCTGTCTCATGGAAAGCAACTGTCTTGGCCTCCGTAAGTTGGTAAGGACACACAGTACTAGGGAACAGCGCACTGGCATAAGCTTCCTTAGTTAGCATGAGGCTTGGCTTCACTCTCTACCACAGAGGGGGGGAAGTTCTTGTTCCCTTTGCTTTTGAGTTTCTGTCCTTGTACCTAGGTGACTCCAGGCTCCACCTGTGTCGTGTTTGGCCTCGGAGGGGTTGGTCTGTCTGTCATCATTGGCTGTAAAGCAGCAGGAGCAGCCAGGATCATTGCTGTGGACATCAACAAAGACAAGTTTGCCAAGGCCAGGACAGTGGGTGCCACTTTCTGCGTAGACCCACGGGACTTGGAGAAACCCATTGAGGAATTCTTAATTGATATGCTGAATGGTGGCGCAGACTTCTGCTTTGAGGTCACTGGAAACACGGAAACAGTGGTATGTGACCTTTGGGAGTGAAAATTACCGGTATATCACACCAGTTGACGCTTACTATTTTAATGTAATGAGCATCCTCCATTTCTCTAATTTATTTGTGGACCACCACATGACCAACAGGACACGCCCATCCGGTCATGCCCATCCGGTCACGCCCACCAGAGCCCTGTCCACGCACTGTCCCACTCAAAAGACAACCCTCCTCTCGAGATCATTTTTTCCCTCCCTGTTCCCACATATGTCTCCTTCAATTAACCATAAAGAATTCCCCACTCAGAGACTGCATGACAACAAGTAGCCTGGGATGATTATAATCTTCAAGGCAGATAACTTAGACGAGATCAGGCTCCACTAAATTGCCCTAGGAAACAATGAGCCTCTTAATTTCATTAAAATCTTTCCTGGTAGATGTGAGCTTCTGAAACAAGAAAAGCGTATCCTCATCTTGATTTAATGGGTCATTTCCAAAAAAAAAAAAAGTGGATTAAAACGGTAGGGATTTTTCTGGCAGCACGTGATTCAGACAAGGAGATAAAAGGGAAAGGCAGTCATGTCAGACTCCGAGAAGAGCTTTCCTTCGGTCTTTGATGCATCTTTGTTGCATGGAAGTTACATGGGAAAGTAAAGCAGAGTCCTTTCCAACCTTGGTCTTTTTTCCAGCGTTCAAAATTTCTTACGGTCCACTGTAGATAATCTTCTCACCTGAGGAAATACACCGCAAAGCCTTTATCCCAGTCTTGTTCTGAGAAACAGCCTTGAAAATCACTAATGGGAAGATGGCGGGTGGTCATTTTGTTAGCATGTCATCTCATACAGACATGCATATGTCCCCTTTGATACGTAGAAGAAACCCATAAACTCAAACCAACCACCCACATTATCAGTGCTTATAGAAACAATCATAATTTTTATTACCATAACTATAACAGTCTTCATCTTTATTCCATTTGTTGAATCCTAAAATGCCAAGCGCTATTCTAGGCAGAAAAAATATCTTAGCTATGTTATAAAACATCTTCATAGTATCCATACTATTTCAAAAATGAAATAGAAAATCAGGAAGGAACTCACAGGCCATTAAGCAGTCACACTGGGTAAGATTCTGATCTGACTCTGACCTAAATGGTTTATCCCTTTTCTGTCTTGTGCTTTACAACAGGCAACGGCCCTGGGCTCCTGCCACAAGGATCACGGGGTGTGTGTGATTATTGGATCAATAGGATCTTGCAGCAATAAAATCAACATCAGTAGCCACTTGTTCTTCTCAGGACGAACTCTGAAAGCTTCTGTTTTGGGAGGTATGTATGGAAAAAATCAGCGAACGTCGGAGATGAGGAGACAGAAGGAGGAAACAGAAAAATGGTCAGAATTCATTGATTAATTCTAGATTACAGCATTTGTTTCAACATTTTAAAACCCACATTAAGAGAGTGGATATTACCTATGGCCTCTGTCTGTCTCTCCATGAAAGGAGAGAAAAAATATTTTTAGTTGACTTGTAAAACAAGCAAACAACAAAATACTGTTTAGTTCAACAGTATTGAACTAAACCCCAACCTTCTTAATGCCTTAATACAATTCCTTCTGCTGTGTTGACCCCAACCATAAAACTATTTTTGTTGCTACTTCCTAACTGTAATTTTGCTACTGTTATTAATAATATGTAAATATTTTTAGAGATAGAGGTTTGCCAAAGAGGTCATGATTCACAGGTTGAAAACCACTGGTAGGTGCTGGGAGTGTAACTCAGTGACAGAATACTAAAGCCCAAATTCAAAATGACCCAAACTTTAACAGTATCAAAATCAATAGGTATTCTCCAGTTAAGTTATATAAATGTCTACTGAGGTTCCTGCAGGTATATGCTCAACTACTAATAGTTATTGTCAAGCAGTATAATCTTATCCAGACAAATGAGTTGTCATCATACCAACTAAGTGGTCTTAAAAATGATAGATTCATAATTGTCAAGAAATACTACCAAAGGGAAAGGTACTTTAATAGCAACCAAATGCAAATTCTCTTATCCAGAGAAATAAATCTTTTCATGGACTCCTTGACTTGCCATTATTTAAAACATAGAACTTTAGAAGATTTTCATTTATTTGCTTTTTTTTTCTTTTGGTTTTTCGAGACAGGGTTTCTCTGAGTAGTCCTGGCTGTCCTAAAACTCACTCTGTAAACCAGGCTGGCCTTGAACTCAGAGATCCATCTGCCTGCCTCTGCCTCCCATATTTAAAAAGTAGAAAATAAATGAAATGATGTACTCCTGCCTAGGCTTCTCAGCTTATCTGCAAGCCACCTGATTTTTTTTTAAGTTCTTAGTGCTTGCTTAGTATAATGTGTATGAGTGTTTTGCCTACATGTCACCACTTGAGTGCCTAGTGCCCACAACAGAGGACAGGAAGGAACATCTGCTCCTCTGAACTGGAGTCATCATTGTGAGCTATAGTGTGAGTAATTCTGCCTCTGGAAGAGCAGCTGGAGCTCTTGACTGCTGAGCCATCACTCTACATCACAGTCCGATTTTAGAGAAGATTCTAGATAATCTTGAGATTATCTAGATTAGAGTCCTTGAACAAAAACATGAAATTTGGAGACTGCTGAACACTGGTCAAGCATTGGAGCTGTGAGGGCTGAGCTATTGGTGGCCATGGACGGTCAGACTTTAGGAGACATACCCACTTCATTTATGCCATGAGCGAATGGTAAGGCCTGTAAGGGAGGTAAGTCCTGATTCAACTGAGCACTGTAGCTCCAGGTCCTCTATTTGGATCACTGAGTATACACCACAGCTCTTTCCTTATGCCTTGTCTTTCAAAGGCACATGTCTAACTAAGCTTTGTAAAAACAGATCATGTTATCTTAACCCTCAGAAACGAACAAATTTTTCAACCATTTAAATATTCATTCAATGATCACAAATGAAGTTAATCCCCTCTAAAGAGGGTAAGTACAGTCCTCTGGTTTTACAATTTCCAATCAAGGGTGTTATTTATGTTGGGCAGACAGATCTCCCAACTTCTTCCAGTGTGTACAGTGAAGAACTTCTCGTACTTAAAATCCAATTAGTGTCCTCGCTGAGAAACAACATGGTCTTTGTTTGTGAGAAACATTGCCGAATTTTGTCTATGTGCCTAGGACCTTCCTTCTCTATTCATTTTACTTTGTTTTAGTGTGTGGATGTGAAGGTGGGAAAATGCATGCCTCAGTGCATACGTGGAGGTCAAAGGGCAATTTTTCGGAGTAAGTCCCACAAGATTCTCTTTCACTCCACTCAGAGGTGGAAAACTCCCTTCCACCTTTAAAGGCTTCCAGGAATCCAGTCAGTTCTCCAGGCTTTCACAAGTACTTCTGCCCACTAAGCCATCTCCCCAGCCCAATGCCTTTCTTGATGTTCTTCCATTGAAATAAGAAGTAATCATAAAATTGGCTTTTACATACAAAATGCTTCACTATATCACCAGGAAAAGAAAAGGAAAGGAAAGGAAAGGAAAGGAAAGGAAAGGAAAGGAAAGGAAAGTTAAGTTGATGAGATTCATAGACTGGAACAGATACCACTAGTTAGAGTCTGTAGTTATGTACAGAAAAGTTAAGTGTTGGGAAAGTTTGGGACCATTTTGAGACTAGGTAGGAAGGCTAGAGAACCTGACATTGATTGGAACAGAGAAAAGCAAGCAAGCAAGCCTGAGGCTTGCAAAGACGGCTCAGCAGTTACAAGCATGTGTGTTTTACAAAGGACCCGAGTTCCTAAATCCCACAAGATCAGAAGATCCAATGTCTCTGGCCTCCTAGGGCACCTACACACACATGTGAACACATGCACTTGAACACACATGTATACATACAGACACATATACACATATACATAATTTAAAATATTAATAAAAACGAATCTTGTCTCTTTTACAGGATAAACCGTGACATTGAGCGCATCTTTTGTGTGTATGTGTCTCATTCTGTAACCCCAATTTTATTTTTTTTTAAATTTTTTTATTGGATGTTATATTTACATTTCAGATGTTATCCCCTTACCCCATTACCACCACCCCCGCCCAGGAACCCCCTATCCCATCCCCCCTCCTCCTGCTTCTATGAGTATGTGCCCCCACCTACCCCCCCACACCCACCTCCCAACCCTCGAATTCCCCCACACTGGAACATTCAGCCTTCATGGGACCAAGGATCTCCTCTCCCACCTATGCCAGACAAGGCCATCCTCCCCTACATATACAGCTGGAGCCATGGGTCCCTCCCTATGTGCTCCCAGGCTGGTGGTTTAGAACTTGGGAGCTCTAGTTGGTTGGTATTGTTGCTCTCCTCATGAGGCCACAAGCCCTTTCAGCTCCTTCAGTCTTCTCTCTAACTCCTCCATTGGGAACTTGTTGATCAGATCAATGGTTAGCTGTGAGCATCAGCCTCTGAATATGTCAGACTCTGGCAGACCTCTAAGGAGACAGCTATATCAGGCTCTTGTCAGCATGCGTTTCCTGACATCCATATCAGCATCTACCTTTGGTGACTGCATGTGGGATGGATACCCAGGTGAAATGGTCTCCAAACGGCCCCTTTTTCAGTTTTTGTCCCACACTTTGTTTCCATATTTGCTCCCTTGAGTATTTTGTTACTCCTTCTAAGAAGGACCGAAGCACCCACATTTGGTCTTCCTTCTTCATGAGCTTAATGTGGTCTGTGACTTGAATCTTGGCTATTTCAAGCTTTTGGGCTAATATCCACTTAGTGAGTGAATACCATGTGCGTTCTTTTGTGATTGGCTTACATCACTCAGGATGATATTTTCTAGTTCTATCCATTTACCTAAGAATTTCTTGAATTCATTGTTTTTAATAGCTGAATAATACTCCATTGTGTAAATGTACCACATTTTTGTACCCATTCCTGTGTTAAAGGATATCTGGGTTCTTTCCAGCTCCTGGCTATTACAAATAAGGCTGCTATGAACATAGTAGAGCATATGTCCTTGTTATATGTTGGAGCATCTTCTGGGTATATGCCAAGGAGTGGTATAGCTGGGTCCTCCGGTAATTCTATGTCCAATTTTCTGAGGAACCACCAGACTGATTTCCAGGGTGATTGTACCAACTTGCAATTCCACCAACAATGGAGGAGTGTTCCTCTTTCTCCACACCCTCGCCAGCATCTACTATCACCTGAGTTTTTGACCTTAGCCATTCTGACTGGTGTGAGGTGAAATCTCAGGGTTGTTTTGATTTGCATTTCCCTGATGACTAAGGATGTTGAACATTTCTTTAGGTGCTTCTCGGCCATTCGAGTTTCCTCAGTTGAGAATTCTTTGTTTAGCTCTGTACCCCATTTTTTAATAGAGTTATTTGGTTGTCTGGAGTCTAATTTCTTGAGTTCTTTGTATATATTGAATATTAGCCCTCTTATCAAATATAGGATTGGTAAAGATCTTTTCCCAATCTGTTGGTAGCCAGTTTGTCGTACTGACAGTGTCCTTTGCCTTACAGAAGCTTTGCAATTTTATGAGGTCCCATTTGTCATTTCTTGATCTTAGAACATAAGCCATTGGTGTTCTGTTCAGGAACTTTTCCCCTGTGCCTAGGTATTGGAGGGTCTTCCCCACCTTCTCTTCTATTAGTTTCTCTATGTCTGGTTTTATGTGAAGGTTCTTTATCCACTTGGACTTGAGCTTTGTACAAGGAGATAAGAATGGATCAATTTGCATTTTCCTACATGCTGACCACCAGTTGAACCAGCACTATTTGTTGAAAATGCTGTCCTTTTTCCACTGGATGGTTTTAGCTCCTTTGTCAAAGATCAAGTGACCGTAGGTGTGTGGGTTGATTTATGGATCTTCAATTCTATTCCATTGATCTTCCTGCCTGTCTCTGTACCAATACCATGCTGTTTTTATCACTATTGCTCTGTAGTACAGCTTGAGGTCAGGGATGGTGATTCCTCCAGAAGTTCTTTTATTGTTGAGAATAGTTCTTGCTATCCCGGTTTTTTTTTTGTTGTTGTTGTTATTCCAAATGAATTTACAAATTGCTCTTTCTATCTCTATGAAGAATTGAGTTGGAATTTTGATGGAGATTGCATTGAATCTGTAGATTGCTTTTGGCAAGATGGCCATTTTTACTAAATTAATCCTGCCAATCCATGAGCATGGGAGATCTTTCCATCTTCTGAGATCTTCTTCAATTTCTTTCTTCAGAGACTTGAAGTTCTTGTCATACAGATCTTTCTCTTGCTTGGTTAGATTCACACCAAGATATTTTATATTATTTGTGACTATTGTGAAGGGTGTTATTTCCCTAATTTCTTTCTCAGCCTGTTTATCCTTCGAGTAGAAGAAGGCTACTGATTTGTTTGAGTTGCTTTTATATCCAGCCACTTTGCTGAAGTTGTTTATCAGGTTTAGGAGTTCTCTGGTGGGAGTTTTAGGGTCACTTAAGTATACTATCATACCATCTGCAAATAATGAAATTTTGACTTCTTCCTTTCCTATTTGTATCCCTTTGACTTCCTTTTGTTGTCTCATTGCTCTGGCTAGGACTTCCAGTATTATATTGAATAGGTAGGATGAGAGTGGGCAGCCTTGTCTAGTCCCTGATCTTAGTGGGATTGCTTTAAGTTTCGCTCCATTCAGTTTGATGCTGGCTACTGGCTTGCTGTATATTGATTTTACTATGTTTAGGTATGGACCTTGAATTCCTGATCTTTCCAAGACTTTTAACATGAAGGGTTGTTGAATTTTGTCAAATGCTTTCTCAGGATCTAGTGAGATAATCGTGTGGTTTATTTCTTTGAGTTTGTTTATATAGTGGATTACATTGATGGATTTCTGAATATTGAACCATCCCTGCATTCCTGGGATAAAACCTACTTGATCATGATGGATGATTGTTTCGATGTGTTCTTGGATTCGGTTTGCTAGAATTTTATTGAGTATTTTTGCACAGATACTCATAAGGGAGATTGCTCTGAAGTTCTCTTTCTTTGTTGGGTCTTTGTGTGGTTTAGGTATGAGCGTGATTGGTGATTGTAGCTTCATAGAACAAATTGGGTAGTGTTCCTTCTGTTTCTATTCTGTGGAATAGTTTGAAAAGAATTGGTATTAGGTCTAACTTGAAAGTCTGATAGAATTCTGCCTTAAAACCATCTGGTCCTGGGCTATTTTTGGTGGGGAGACTTTTAATGACTATTGCTATTTCTTTAGGGGTTATGGGACTATTTAGATGGTTTATTTGCTCCTGATTTAATTTTGGTGCCTGGTATCTGTCTAGAAAATTGTCCATTTCATCCAGATTTTCCAATTTTGTTGAGTATAGCCCTTTGTAGTAGGATCTGATGATTTTTTTAATTTCCTCAGTTTCTGTTGTTATGTCTCCCTTTTCAGTTCTGATTTTATTAATTTGAATACTGTCTCTGTGCCCTTTGGTTTGTCTGGCTAAGGGTTTATCTATCTTGTTGATTTTCTCAAAGAACCAGATCCTGGTTTTGTTGATATTCTGTATAGTTCTTTCTGTTTCTACTTGGTTGATTTCAGCCCTGAGTTTGATTATTCCCTGCCGTCTACTCCTCTTGGGTGTATTTCCTTCTTTTTGTTCTAGAGCTTTCAGGTGTGCTGTCAAGTTGTTAGTGTATGCTCTCTCCAGTTTCTTTTTTTAGGCACTTAGAGCTATGAGTTTTCCTCTTAGCACTGCTTTCATGGAGTCCCACAAGTTTTGGTTTGATGTGTCCTCATTTTCATTAAATTCTAAAAAGTCTTTAATTTCTTTATTTCTTGCTTGACCAAGTCATCATTGAGTAGAGCATTGTTCGGTTTCCACGTGTATGTGGGCTTTCCATTGTTTTTGTCATAATTAAAGACCAGCCTTAGTCCATGGTGATCTGATAGAATGCAAGGGATTATTTCAATCTTTTTGTATCTGTTGAGGCCTGTTTTGTGACCAGTTTTATGATCTATTTTGGAGAAGGTACCATGAGGTGCTGAGAAAAGGGTATATTCTTTTGTTTTAGGATGAAATGTTCTATAGATATCAGTTAAATCCATTCTGTTTATAACTTCTGTTAGTTTCATTGTGTCTCTGTTTAGTTTCTGTTTCCATTATCTGTCCATTACTGAGATATGAATAGTGTTGAAATCCCCCACTATTACTGTGTGAGGTGCAATGTATGCTTTGAGCTTTAGTAAAGTTTCGTTTATATATGTGGGTGCCCTTGCATTTGGTGCATAGATGTTCAGAATTGAGAGTTCATCTTGGTAGATTTTTCCTTTGATGAGTATGAAGTGTCTTTCCTCATCTTTTTTGGTTGAAAGTCGATTTTATTTGATATTAGAATGGCTACTCCAGCTTGTTTCTTGGGACCATTGGCTTGGAAGATTGTTTTCCATCCTTTTACTCTGAGGTAGTGTCTGTCTTTGTCACTGAGGTGCATTTCTTGTATGCAGCAATATTCTGGGTCCTGTTTATGTATCCAGTCTGATAGTCTACATCTTTTGATTGGAGAATTGAGTCCATTGATATTAAGAGATATTAAGGAAAATGATTGTTGCTTCCTGTTATATTTGTTATTAGAGGTGGAGTTATATTTGTGTAACTATCTTCTTTTGGAGTTGTTGGAAGATTACTTCCTTGCTTTTTCTAGGTTGTAGTTTCCTTCCTTGTGTTGGAGTTTTCCATCAGTTTTCCTTTGAACTACTAGATTTGTGGGAAGATATTGTGTAAATTTGGTTTTGTCATGGAATATCTTGGTTTCTCCATCAGTAGTGATTGAGAGTTTTGCTGGGTATAGTAGTCTGGGCTGGCATTTGTGTTCTCTTAGGGTATCTTTGTATATGATATCAGTCCAGGATCTTCTGGCTTTTATAGTCTCTGGTGAGAAGTCTGGTGTAATTCTTATAGGTCTGCTTTTATATGTTACTTTATCTTTTTCCCTTACTGCTTTTAGTATTTTTCTTTGTTTTATAAATTTGATGTTTTGATTATTATGTGACAGGAGGTATTTCTTTTCTGGTCTAGTCTATTTGGAGTTCTGTAGGCTTCTTGTATATTCATGGGCATCTCTTTCTTTAGGTTAGAGAAGTTTTCCTCTATAATTTTGTTGAAGATATGTACTGGCCCTTTAAGTTGGGAATCTTCACCCTCATCTATACCAATTATCCTTAGGTTTGGCCTTCTCATTGTGTCCTGGATTTCCTGGATGTTTTGAGTTAGGAGCTTTTGCATTTTGCATTTTCTTTGACAGTTGTGTCAATGTTTTCCATGATATCTTCTGCACATGAGATTCTCTCTTCTATCTCTTGTATTCTGTTGGTGATGCTTGCATCTATGACTCCTGATCTCTTTCCTAGGTTTTCTATCTCCAGGGTAGTCTCCCTTTGAGATTTCTTTATTGTTTCTACTTCCATTTTTAGATCCTGGATGGTTCTGTTTAATTCCTTCACCTGTTTGGTTGTGTTTTCTTGCAATTCTTTAAGGAATTTTTGTGTTTCCTCTTTAAGGGCTTCTACCTGTTTACCTGTGTTCTCCTGTACTTTCTTTAAGGGAGTTATTTATGTCCTACTTAAAGTCCTCTATCATCATCATGAGAAGTGATTTTTAATTCTGAATCCTGCTTTTCTGGTGTGATGGGGTGTCCAGGGCTTGCTATGGTGGGAGAACTGGGTTCTGCTGATGCCAAGTAACTTTGGTTTCTATTGCTTATGTACTTGCGCTTGCCTTTCACCATCTGGTTATCTCTAGAGCTATCTGCACTCACTGTCTCTGACTGGAGCCTGTCTTTCCAGTTATCTTGCTTGTGTCAGAACTCCTCAGGGTCCAGATGTCTCTGTGATCCTGTGATCCTGTGATCCTGTGATCCTGAGCTCCCATTGCTCTGAGTGCAGTGCCTCTCTAGGATGTCTCAGGATATGGTGTCTTCACAGGAGCAGACCAGCTAGGTGTCTGCCCCAGTCACAAGGCCCATGGCAGGGGCAGAAGGGGAGTGGTATTCCACAGTGGCGGGGTTTGGGTACCTGATGGGTCCTGAGTGCCCCCTGCTCCCAGTTGTAGCTCTGTGGTGTAGGGTAGTGGGAGAGTGTTCTTACCCACTGCTCTGAGTGCAGTGGCTCCTCTAGGATGTCTCAGGATATGGTGTCTTCACGGGAGCAGACCAGCTAGGTCACATATTTATTTTTTAATTATTTATTGTTATATGGGTAGATGTTTTGCCTACATAATTGTCTGTACCATAAATACGCATTGTGCCATGGAGGCCTGAAGAGGGTGTCAAATCCCCTGGAAACAGAGTTATAGATAGTTGTATACTGTCATGTGGGTATAAGAAATGGTACCCAGGTCCTCTAGAAGAGCATCCAGTGCCCTAACTACTGAGCTAGCTCCTACGCCTTACCTATTTTTCTCTTTAAAGATAATCAGGCAGCTGCCAAAATCCTCTCACACTGGACAAGGTACTTGGCACAGTGTGAAATGCATACCCTTTTTGAAACTCAGAAAAGTAGAGAAAATACATCGTGAGGTTTGTGTTGCTTTAGCTGGCCTCATCTTTACTCTCGGAGGACACATTTGAATAATTTCTACACGTTCATTTTCCGCTTCTCTGGAAATGCTGCCATCATGTTCTTCTCTTCCCTTAGACTATTTGCATTGTTCATGGAGCTGCATGTCAAAACACAGAGACAGAGCTGTGTGTGCACACAAATGCACACACACACACAGATAACACACACATGGATGCACACACATGGATGCATGCACGTGCACGGAGAGAGGCATTTCTATGATTTTAGAGAGTGCAGTGCTGAAGATTGAACCTAGGGTCCTGTGCACATAGCCCCATGTTCTTCCAGCTGAACTACTTCCCCAGCCCCCATTTCTACCCATTTAATTCTTTCAGACCTTCATTATACAGATGAATTCGATGTGCTACAGAGATTAGATCCAAGGTGGGAACACCACAGATGAGATTTAGTTTCTGTTGGTTTTGTATTACTTCCTCTGTGTTAGAGACATCACTGGTCCTCCAGAGGAACAGAACCCTGTGTGTTGGCTGTGTGGTGGGAACAGTGCCTGTCCTGACTGGGGCAAGATGAGGCAGAAAACTTCCCTAGCAGTCTAACATGGCCCTTTTTTCCTCCCATCATCCTTCCTTTTTTTTTTTAAATCTCTTTTTTAATCATTTGAGAATTCCATGCATGTATATATGGTATTATCAAAGCCACACCCCATTCCTCACATGGCCTTTCTTTATATTGAAACCTCATGAGTAAAACCCTTCATAAGTCTGTGCTATTTTGTGTATTTCCAGGCTGGAGAACCAAAGAGGAAATCCCTAAGCTGGTTTCTGACTATATGGCAAAGAAGTTTAACCTGGATCCCCTGATCAGCCACACCCTGACTCTCAGTGAGGCCAATGAGGCAGTTCAGCTAATGAAAAGCGGGCAATGGTAATCGCGCAAGTCACTTTTGTCTGTGTGTGGATGTGGGGACAGAGGGTTGTCACTGCTATAGTCTGCACAGACAAAGGTCTCCCCTTGCCCTCTGAATTTTGCTTTATTGCTGACTTATAAAATAGGTGATCCTGGAAGTATTAAGGTAGTAGATAGCATTCACATTATTTCCTTATACAAGATGGAACTAAAGATGCCATCGCATAAAGTTAGGATCTGAGTTTAGGAACACAGTTTACAGAGCTGGAGAAAAGACTGCAGGTAAAAACACCTACTGCAGTGGTGAACCTCCTGGGTTTAATCCCCCAATCCCCATAGAGATGGCAGGAGGGACCCGACTGTACAAGGCTGTCCTCTGATTTCCTTATGTACACCTTGGCTCACCTCCATCCTCCACTTCTCCCCACAGTAAGATAAAATATGGAAAGGTTGAAGCCATTTTACAAGAGGATGTTGTTGTCATTTTCATGTTTTATTTCTGCGTGGGGATCATCTATAAGATTCCTAATGCTAACACCTCCTCCCAGGAGAGACTGACCATAAATGGCATCAGCACGTCTCATAGTTAAAGCTCCCTACCTACTCTATTACCTGAGAACTGCACATGGCTTTGTTCATCTTCCTCCCAGCTTGTTAATCTGCCCCCCCTTTTCACTCAGTATCAAAGGAAACGACTCTAGTTCATAGGTCTAAAACACAAGAATCTGAATCCAAAACACATGGTGCGTCAGAAATTCCTCAATGTTTTCTCTTTCTTCTCTTTTTTCAGTATCCGCTGTGTCCTGCTACCATAATTAGAAGATCTACACATTTCATCATGTATCATGATTTAAAAGAATCTGCCACACAGTGGTTTTCTAGCCTTTCATTCACTCAGCAACAATCTCGAATCAAGCTTCTCAACTGACCACACCATGGAAATTATTCCCATGTGCCCCGGTGCCATGGAGTACCAGCCTCCCTTGTACAGCTATGATAAGGTTGATTTGAGTTACTCAATAGCAGATTCTGCAGACGAAAGCACACCAAGATGCTCCATTGGCACAGCTGTCCCTACCTAGGGGTGCACATTTCCACACTCACTGGATCTTTCCCATGATGTATGGATCCACACAAGGAGCTCTGTGTGTTGTTCACAAGGTGCAGAATTCCCACCAGAGAAGTTAGTGGAACTGATAAACAATTGAGTTAATGTTTAGGTCACAAAACAGCAATAACAAGTTATCTGATATGGAAATCAAGGAAGCAATATCACAACTGCTATGAGATTTATCTCACAAATAAATTAGTAACATAGAAACAAATTTAGTCAAAGGTGAAATATCTCTAAAATAAAAAGTATAAAACATTGCAGAGTATCGTGATACACTTCTTTAATCCAAGCATCTTGGTGGCCAAGGAGAATAGACTATATGTTCAGGACCAGACTGGTCACATAGCAAGTTCTACACAGCTTGATTGTATAGAATTGATCATTTCTCAAATATAGACATATTTATATATACACAAAAATGAAAAGATTCTTTGTTTATGAATTCAAGAATTAGAAGAATCTATACTGTTAAATGTCCATGCTATCCAAAGATAGCTACAGATTCAATGAAGTCTTAACAAAACACCAGTAAAAATTTCTCACAGATTAAAAATAGATTTTAAATCTGTATGAAACCTCAAAAATGCAAATAGACAAACTAATCCTGACCTTAAAGTACAAAACAAGAGCCATTATACTCCAAAATACACTACTGAGTCATGGTGACCAAAGCAACATAGTTTGTCAGAAAACCAGAATCACAGACCAATGGAACTGAACAGCCCAGAAAACCTGAACACGTGCAATGAAGGCTAAGAAGGTGCTAAGAAGATACATCAGAGGAAGTAGGGTCTTTTCAATTATTGGTCCTAGGAAAATTAGATATGGAAAATAAGATATTTTCCCACATGAAAAAAAAATAAAGTTAGGCTTCCCCTTTCTCTTGAGGCCGTCACAAAAGTGAACTGTATGCACACTGAGGTCTACAATGGAGGACTGGAACCACTAAACTATTATAAGAAAACAGAGGGAACAACTCTGGACATTGAAAATGGGCAAGGAATTGTCGAACAATGTCCTCTAGGCATAGGAAATGAAAGGAAAATTAGACAAATGATTAGAGCCAACTAAAAAGCTTCTGCCCAGCAAGAGAAGCTGCCACCTTAGAGAGAAGACAGCATGCGATCGCAGTGTAGTTCTTGAATGTAGAAAAATACAAAGTGCTGGTATGCTTTTAACAGTTGTAAGGTGAGGACAGATAACACACTGTGTGTTTCACATACCAAAAGAAAGGATTTTTGAGTCCTGTTCTCACAAAGAAATTATTTTTCAGGAATAATACAACATCCTAAAGTGTAATCACATGCTGCTCCATAATTATGTATGACTTTATGCTTTTATACATCAGTGAAAAATAAATTGAAGACAGTGAAGAGATGGCTCAGTGGTTAGGAGCACTGGCTGCTCTTTCTGATGGTCCAGGTTCAGGTCCAAACACATAGATGGCAGCTCACATCACCTGCAACTCCACTTCCAGGAGATCCAGTGTCCTCTTCTGGCCTCCACAGACATTGCACGTATACAGCATACAGACATACATGCAGGCAAAACATCCATACATATAAAACAAAAATAAATCTATTTTTAAAAATATAGAAATAAAGTACATTAATTTTTAAATGAAATAAAGCTCCCCGTCTTAGTTACTTCTGTTTGATAAGAAACCTGAGAGAAGGAAGTGTTTTATCTGGGCTTAAAGTTTCAGATTAAAGAAATATAATTACTTAAAATAAAACTTCTGGGGCTGGAGAGCTTGCTCAGCAGTAAGAGTACACACTGCTCTCACAGAAGACCTGAGTTCAGTTCCTAGTGCTCACAACAAATAGCTCTGACCACCTGTAACTCCAGCTCCTGGGGATCCTATGACTTCTGCAGGCATCAGAACTCATATGTACAAAACACACACATACACACACACACACACACACACACACACACACCAAAAAATAAACTACAAACAAAATAAATCCTTTAAGAAATAAAACATCCCACTAATAAATTTATCGAAGATTCAAGTTAACCTGAAACAGATTAGCTCAGCCTTAACCCATGGTTCCCTTACAATAACTCAACGGCTCTCCTCTCTTCTGTATTGACAAAGAAATGTCAGCCTTCTTCAATTATCCAGGAAGGTTAGCTTTCGGCAGCTCCAACTTCTCGGAATTCAGAGAAGGGATGGGAGTTGGGGGTAGTGAATAGAGTCTTGTTATTTACTGAGAGACACGCCCTAAAGAGATGGTTACAGAAGTTTCCTATTTAACACTCCTCAGAAAGGGACAGTAAATGTTCAGCCTCTTACTAGCGTGTCCCATAGATGCTTTTCTTATGAGAAGTAGCTAAGAGGACAAGACTCAGGAGTGGTTTTGACATCTTACCCTCTCTTGACCCTGTGACCCTGCACAAGCCCCTCTTATTCTCCTAGACCTAGGGTTGATATTGACAGCTGTCTTAGGGTGGGACTTCCTTCTTTATTCTCTACATGTAAAAACTCACTTAGCAACCCCTGACCCCAGTCCACAGAATAGGATTGTTGTTTCTACTAAAAGACTTCCTTAGCAAGGGCTCTGCCAGATTCAGGAATACTGGATCAGACAGTGCTGTTGACATTGGGAGAGCAAAATAGAATATCTTGTGCCTAGACCAAATAGCTTTGTCATTCAAGACTGGTCAGGAAATGAGAACATGCCCAGTCCTGCCTACCTGTTGTGCTTATCTCTGGATATAAGAGTCGTCATATAAGTAATCCCCAAGCTGAGAAACACCATAAGGTGAGGGTGCTTCTCCTCGCACTCAACCACTCCCGCCTCACCACTCTAGCAATCGCCTACGCTAGGGCATCAAGCCTCCTTCCCCTCCCATTTATGTCAGATTAGGCCATCCTCTGCTACATATGTATCTGGAGCCATGGGTCTCTCCATGTGTACTCCTTGATTGGTGGTTTAGTCCCTTGGAAGCTGGGTGGGGGGGAGTGTCCTGGTTGGTTGATATCGTTGTTCTTCCTATGGGGTTGCAATCCCCTTCAGCTCCTTCAGTCCTTGCCATGGCTCTTCCATTGGGGGCTCCCAAGCTTAGTCCAATGGTTGGCTGTGAGCATCTGCATCTGTATTGGTCAGGTGCTGATAGAACCCCTCAGGGAACAGTCATATCAGGCTCCTGTCAGCAAGCACTTCTTAGCATCAGCAATAGTGTGGGGGTTCAGTGTCTGCAGATGGGATGGATCCCTAGGTGGGGAGGTCTCTGGATGGCCTTTCCATCAGTCTCTGCTCCATTTTTTGTCTCTGTCTTTCCTTTGGACAGGAGCCACCTTTCCACCTTCTCTTCCATGAGATTCCTTGAGCTCTGAGGGGAGGGATTTTATATTCTCTCTCTCTCTCTCTCTCTCTCTCTCTCTCTCTCTCTCTCTCTCTCTCTCTCTCTCTCTCTCTGCATGTCTGGCTGTGGGTCTCTGCATCTGTTCTGTTCTGATCTGCTGTTGAAGAAAGCTTCTCTGATGATGACTGGAGAAGGCTCTGATCAATGAATATCTGATCAGGATATCATTTGGGATTATTTTCTTGTCTGTTTCTTCTTTTTTTCTTCTATCATGTTTGGTTTTACTCTAAGTTTCTGAGCTACTTAGCCTCTGGTTCTCGGTTACCTGCGCAGTGTCTGGTATGAGTTCCTTCTCACGGACTGGGCCTTAGGTCAAATCAGACATTGGTGGCTGGTTACTCTCAGTTCTGTGCCACCAGGGCCTAGCATATTCTGTAGGCAGGACATTCTGTAACTCAAAGGTTTTGTGGCTGGGCTGGTGGCCACATTTGTTTTTCAGTAGGCTGCAAAATCCTTTCTCACACCAAAGACCTGAGAATGTAGGGTTGAGGACTCCATTCAGGCACCAGCTCAACCTCTCCAGTGAGCTGGGTGGCCATCGTCCTCAACAATGAGGCCTCTCTTTCAGTTTGCAGAAAGCAACGTTCCATCTTAGCACACAACCTGGGATTTGATTGAAGGCCCCTGGCCAACAATTCAATTAAGTCTAAGTCCCTCCAATGGGAACCTCAATAAGAGGAGGAAATCATAAAAAGACATTCAGAGTAGCTTGAAGAGCTACTCTGTAACTCGGGTCTTAGTAACACCTTTCTGGAAAATTCTGACTTTCCATCATGTTGAGGTTCCCCCAAGTGTGTGATGGTTTAATATTTTCATGGTCTCAGTTGTCTATTAAATGTTGTAAGTTAGTGCTAGCACTCCCCCTGGTGGTGGCAGTTGTCATTAACCTACACTATAACTTCAAAACATGTTTACTGCTCCAACTACTCCTCTCCAACTTGCTACTAAGGCCAGATAACCACCACCAGAATGACTTCCATGACCCTAAAGCAGTCCACTAGCTTTTCTCTGTCTTTTCCATGAGCTCTGATAGTCGGTTAACTAATCACAACACTAACACTTTTTTAGTCTATGTCCTGTGAGGCTCAGACAGCCCAACATCTAAGATAGGCAAATAATTAAAATTCAGTATAAAAAACATTATTACAAGCAGGTAATAAAACAGAGAGGAAATTCTTCCTGCCAATGAGATGAGGAAAACTCAGAAGGAGTAGTTGAGCCTCAGTGCATGCAGTGGGCTCTGCAAAGTAGGAGAATCAGTTTGCACGCAGGGTAGTGACCTGTGATGCATTTTGGGTAGCAGCCCTGGGGAGAGAACCTGTGAGGCTGAAGTTGACCTAGAGGCCTGTCAGTGAAGGAACTTGGAAGCAAATTCTTTCAGAGGTGAGCCTTACGATGACAGCAGTTCTGGTCAGCACATGCAACGAGGACCTCCTGAGCTAAGCTTGTATGCTGTCAGATTCATGGCCAACAAAAACTTTGATTTGTGTCTAATCTGTCAAGCAGCAAGTTGCTGATGCATAGGTGTTAATTCAGGGGGCAGTAATCCCCCAGCATGCTCTGTGGCACAGTCCTGTAAGAGTCTCCCTTATGGTGAACTGGGATGGGAACAAAACCCAGTGAACTTAAGTTCTGCTTCTTTCCCATCATTAGAGAAGATTTGAATTGAAAATCAAGCCTAGGGTTTGTTCATGAGATTATCCAAATTACAGCATTTTAATCTATAATCCCAATAAATCACTAAGACTAAAGTCAGAACCCTGATGAAGATGAGGTGGATTTGAACACTAAACTGAGACTATCTTGGTAACTTTAATGGCCAGATCTTCCTGAACCTTTCTAGCTTCAGCATTTCATTGGGGGCTTGCTGATAGTTTTAGGTTGGTCC